AAACCCACAGACAACAGCCAGTCTTTGTTGAGAGTAGATTACTTTTCTATTCAGTGTAAACCAATTGGTGAAAGGGATCTAAGGCTGTCCTTCAGATCTTTTTTTCCCAGCTCTGTGGCTGATGCACAGGACCTGAACCTTATGCCAAACCATGACTTGGCTGTTTATTTTCTCTTAAGCCATCAGCCTGAAGCAGTCAGAAACTCTTACAGCAAGCAAATAACTGCTCTGGAGGGGAATCAGTATCTTCATGGTGCACTCAGGATTTTTTTGAAGGGCGTAACAGGTCCTTCTGCCCAAGCAGATGCTGCAGCTGCCGGGGTGCGGTGCAGGCGGACAGGCTGGGAGCTCTGTGATAGCGATGCGACCACATACCCAGCCTGGAATGTTTCCAGGAGAAGAAAACTACTCTTGAAATAGAAATTCTTATCTTAGCAGTGTGAGAATGGTGGCAGAGGCACAAAGTGCCTTTCACTGTGGAATTGGATAGGATATGTAATTATCCAAGCTTATGGGAGTCCTGTATTTTTTAACTTGGTTGCATTTCTCTGTCACCATGAGCCTGACAGTGATTCCAGTCACTGTGTTATATTTTTACAATCTGTTTTGTTAGTCCTCAGTGGTTGTTGGGTTTTTTTTCTGTAAACCTTTTTTTTTTGTTTTGTTTTAATCTTTAGGATTTTGGTGGCTTTACACTCTTTGGCTTCCACTGATCATGGGTCAGATGTAGACTTGCTGTAATATTCAATTTTATTGCCTGTCCAGCTTTTCCTGCTGAATTCTTTCCAGTAACACCCTCTGCTCTTCAACATTATTTCTTTGACATCTTTGCTGTTAGTCTACATCTAGATTAGCTTTCTTTCCACAGCCATATATTAATGACCTGAAATGTTCTTTAAGTATCTCAAAAATAAACCTGTTAGTGGAAATATCTCAGTACCTCTTGGGCAGGTTTCTAAATTTTGTTCTGGCTGTGTGCAAACAGCACAGACGCTTTGGGTGGAAAGGTCACTTGCTAAGCAGAGCACAAGCACAGAAATTGCCCTGCTCAGGGAAAGTGATTGGGATGATTGCAAATGATACCAATTAAAGAGGAGGTACTGGCTAACTGATGCCCTTGGCCAAGTGTAACGATTTGAAGAAAGATTGTAGTGACCAAACGCTTTGGAGAGGTGAGTTTGCTGCAGGAAGGTGATAAAAACAGCTGCTAAAGGCTTGAGAGCAGTTTTAGAGAATGGGAGGTGGACTGGAGGCAGGAGATGAAGACAGAAGGAAAATGGGCTGTAAAATTCAGGAAAGGGACAGTTGAAGTGAAGGCAGCAGTGGGGGGACCCAGCAGGAGCCCTGGGGATGACAGAGTGCCAGGGAAATCCTGCCAGCACACCCAAGGTCAGCCCAACCTCCAGGCCAACTGCCAAGTGCATGGCAGCCCGTGGGAGGCAGGGTTATGGCCATGCAGGGCTTGGAGCAGGTACAGGTGCAGGATGGCAGAGGATGGCACGTCTGTGTAGTCCTTGTGTCCAGGAATAGGTTCTGGGGCGTAGCAGGCAGAATTAGGATGATTACCAAGAGGTGACTGGAAGCTTTTCTTTCCAAGCAGCCCTGGCAGTGCTGGGCAGTGTGTCCATGCTGAGGGTGCACTCTGCTCTCTGCTCACTCCTGGGAACAGAACTGGTGCTCAGGGTACCAACTGTGTGTTGGAGTGTTCTGGCTTCAGACTCCTTGTGTGACCTTGCACAGATCAATAGCATCTAAAATCTAGCTGTAGATAGCATCCACCTCCTTGTGTTCATTTCTTGTTCCAAAAATGATCCCTTAATGTTGGCTGATTTCAGTGCACAATGAAGCTCAGTCGAAAAAAGAGGATAAATGTAGGCCTGGACACCTATTAAGGTTTCCAAATGCACCTTGAATAGCAGGCTGGACTGATGCCAGTGAAGATCCTGAAGGTCTTCCCAGACCCTCTGTGCCTTTAGGTCTCCATTATCATCAAACCCCAGCCCACTCAGTGCCCTCCAGCCTCCACCTTGTAAAACAATTATCGCAGAGTATGGGGGGCTGGATACACCTGTGGGGTTATTCTGAATGAGAAACCTGGGAGGACAGCAACCCTCAGCAGGTCTGTAATGTGTCATGCACAGAGCACGGGGATGGGGTTTAGCTCCTGGAGGGGACTGTCAAAGATGGGAATTTTCCTTGGAAGATGATGAGCCTGTGGAGCTGTGTGTGGTGGGGAGGAGGGCTGGGAGAGGTCACGCTGAGCCTGTGTGCTGTTAGCCCAGCACCTGCACTCAGTGGGACGTGTCCTCTCCTGCAAAGTGTGGTTGCACAAGGCAGCTCTTGTAGAGCTCAGGAGCTGGAGCACGAACTGGGGGAGCCCTGCTAGAGGGTGCCCCAGGGGGGAGGCTGGGACCCCACCACATCCTCGTTACTGCTGACCTTGGCATGAGCACTGCCTGCTGATGGATCGGCTCCGGAGCTGGATAAGCCCCTGAGGAACAACTGCATTATCTGTTATGTCCCATCAGTGCCTCCCCTGACCCCACCCAGCTCCGAATGCCACAGGCATCAGGGAAGGAATAAATCTCTGTCTGGTACTGAGAGAGAGAAGGGAGCGAGAGCAGGAAAAAGGAGAGATGAAAAATGTCCTTTTTATGACTCTCACAACAAAGCTGGCCACATGATTCGTAGCAAACATTACTCTGGGAAAAGGGAGGGAGAGAATGGGGAGGAATCAGCAAAAAGCAGCGCTGCTTCTCTCCCCTGCAAAGTGCCCAGGGGGAATTACAGAGGGGTATGGGTGACCTTTGAAGGTAAATATCCCAGGAAAAGAAAGGAAAGAGGCCTCAAGGCTTCAGAAAGCTCAGACTTGCTGCAGTGTCTGAGGCTGCCTGATGAAATGTATACATTGTGAGCAGAAAGCAGAGGCACAGGTGATCTGAGCTAGAGCAGCAGCAGGGCCAGGCAGTGATTAACAAGGCACTAATAGCAACCACAGCTTTTGGGGTTTTGTTTCTTTTTGGGGTGATCTAGGAGATCTCCAGCCTAGGGAGAGCTCCTGACCCTGGTGTCTCCAGGAGACAGAAGCCTTTAGCAGCACAGGCCAGGGCCTGAAGAGGGGCTGGAGATGAATTGCCAGGACTGTAGAAGCCCCTTGCCCATTACCCACCGACCCAGCCACGTTTCTGTGACAGCTGCTGGGGTATTTGGGTTCCCAGGGAAGCAGCCCAGGGCTGAGGCTGTGGGCTGGCACCAGCTGCAGTTCCCACTGTGCAGAAAGCTGCAACAGGGTCTGCACTGGGGTTCTGGGCTGTCCCAGAGCACCCCATCATCAGGCAGGGTGTCTCCAGCTGCTTCCAGTGCCATGGGAAAGCACCTTTGCCCTCTGGCCTCCTCTGCCACACTGTCTATGCTTGGGGATGAGAGGCAGGTGCTGTTCATGCTGAAAAACTTCACTGAACCTGAGATATTGACCAGACCTGTTATTTCTAAAAGGTGCTTGGAGTTGTGAAAAAAGTCCATTTGCCACTGTTTTCTTCTGCCCCCAGACAAGCATTTGCCTTAATTGGGAGCCCCTTCCCAGGTAGCAGCAATGAGATCACAGTCAAACAGGGCTTAGAGTCCAAACCCAGCTGAAATCCATTGACAGCCAGGTCATTTTTAGGAAGATGGGTCTGGCTGAACCTGCTGAGCTGTGACCAGGGACCAGCTTGTCCTGGGAATGCTCACCAAAATTGGTCTCTTTAACTTGCCAGTCATAGAAAAGTGTGTTAAACTCCCACTTTTACTGAAATGGCTGTGGCAACTCCTTGATAATCCCAGTAATTCAGTTTTATCTATAACGTGCTTTTAAAATAAAGGGATAAATACAATCAGTCTGCATAAAAGGTAGCTATTAAGGAGCAGGCAAGTTGTACAATAATAACTTTCAATTAAAAGCCCTTTCTCACTACTTCTGCCGTTGTGGGGTCTGCAGATTTTCCTTAAAACTTCTGAAGCATGCCTGGGCTTCTTACAGGAAGACATTTAACCTCCGTTTATGAAGAAATAAAGCAAAATTGATGTTGATTTTGGCCTTCATTGGGGGATACTTTTGCAACATAAAAGCCCTTTTGCCTGCAATTTGCAGAGCAGCCCTGTCACATTGGTGAGGGCTGATACTGATAAAGATAAAGCTTTATAGCTGGGGCATTTGCAGCTAACAGCAAGCTAATGCTACATTTTCATTTTGATGCAATTAATGTTAATGTCTGCTACGAAAATTGTCATTAAATACCATTTTAAAATCCATTCAATTTGCATATGCAAAGCCCATTTACTATCACGTAAAATACATGGTGCCGTTCATCATGTCTTTTCTCTAGAATTTGTAGCTGTTATTTTTCTGGTAGTGATTATTATCTAGCTCTTAAAATAAAATCTAATGTCTGGTCCAGACCTGCACAGAGCAAGAAACCTCCCTGGGCTCCAGCAGTAGCAGGACTTTCAGAGGCTTTGAGCAGTGGTTTGTGCTGGAGTTGCATGGACAGGGAGAAGCTTCTTTGCCTCTATCCTGCTCCCAATTTCTGCCCAATGCAGGGCAATGAACTATGTAGGAGAGAGTAGGATAAAGAACCTGAACTGATCTTTAACTCCACAAGAGAATTTCAACCAGTGCAGACAGGTAGAAATGCTGTTGCTCTGATTTTCTGACCCTGGGATGCAAATTTTCTGTCTGACAGCTCTTCATATTCCTTTAGGTTAAAGGGTTGGCACTGAAGATATTTTTAAGAGGCCTCAAGCCCTTAATACCACAGGTGAAATGAGGCTGTGTTGTGGCATGTATGTTAGATTCAGGTAGTTGATTATCTGACAGAAGTGTCATCTGACACAGATGTGATGCTGTGACTCAGGACGCTTCTGTTTTGAGGCCTGTGGTAGCTGAGACTGGGGAGAGATGTAGGTGTGAGGGTAGGAAGGGATAATTTCATTCTGAGGAGGGCCCAAATCTTCCCCCTTACCGTGGTGGCCTGCCAAAAGTCATGTCTTGAGGGACCTTGCAGCCATATCTGAGGATCTCCTTATCTTTGCAGCGGATGTTCATGAACTTGTAGTACAGAGCAAACTCACGGGCTTTGGTGCAGCCTTCATCCACAGCCTTACGGCCCATGGTCACATAGTCTCGGGGCATGACCCTTTTATGAGGCTTGGCCTTCACTGAATCCCAGTGGCCTATGGCTGGAGATGGAAGGAAATAGAGAAAAAGATGAGGCATCTCAGTTAGCTCCTGTTTGGGAAAGCAAATTGAAGTGTGTGCACCGTGCATGGGGGTCTTGTGCAGCTAAGGTTCCTTTTGTCAGCTTCATAACCTGTCCCACTGCATCCCATATCCCATCTGAATTGGATGTCTTCTCACCCTCCTCCCTGGCTTGCTCAGGATGTCTGGTTTGACAGGGAAATTGTCCCTGAGAGCACAAAGCAGGAGCCCTGACAAAGTTATGACTGCCCAGGTGCATCCCCCTTTGCAGGTGCACCCTCCCTGCCTGTGTGAGCCTCTGAAAGTTTCCTATGTGACAGAATCTTCACTGGTCACCAAGCAATTGGGGTGATATTAATGAAAGTAGGTAAATGTTGGAGTTCTGCACTTCCAGCTTGATGAGAAGTACTGAAGAGCTGTGGGAAGAAGAGACTTCCTACTAGCATTAGGACTTTGTTACAGGTCTGTGTTTTAGGGGCAGTGTCCTACCTTCAGGGACTCCTCCATCTCTCCTGTGCATGTACATCCCATAGGTAAAATCAGGCCCTGGAAGGGAGTAGCAGTTTCTCATCGGCTTCCCCAGCTCTGGCTGCAGAAAAGGGAATAGAGAAGCATCAAGGTAAGATAAAGTCCCTGAAAACAGAAGTTTGTAACAGAGCATGGCCACAAGTACCAGGAGTGTCCATTTGGCAGGGGCTTGAATCCCACTGCATAAGTATGTGCCACAGTGCAAAAAGGAGCTGAAACCTAAAGGATGCTGAATTTCACACAAGTTTGGTTTTGAGTTTTACAGAGACCTAGCCTTGCTGGATATAGGGATCCTGATTCAATAGATATGGACTTGAAATCTTCTTGTTAGGTTAATCTCTCCTTTGGTGGGGATGCCCAGCTGTGGTGTCTGCTGGGGAGACAGCAGCTAGTCTTAATTTTACTTTGAGTTACTTCATTTCCAACTTATGCATCCTCCCAGAAAACTGACATAAACTTCCCCAGACACAATCACATGGCTGCTTCTGCCTGGGAATAATCAAGATACAAGGCATGCTGCAGGAGGAGGATAAGGGGGAATGAAGAAGGGAGAGCAGAGCCTGGGGTTTATAGCACAGAAAAGAACTTCAGCTCAATATCATCATTTCTATTTAGTTTTCAAATGAACTCTTTCCCAGCTCATGTGTGCCCTAGCCCGGTGGTGTCTGTGGGATTAACTGACCTCCCCTCACTCCTTTGTCTCCACCTTCCCATCTCCATGGTGAAGTCACTGCAGGATGTGTGTCTTGGAACCTCATTGCTGCTTGAGAGGGAGGCAGCAGAGGAGGGAAGGGGGGAGAGCCTGGCACAGGGAAAGCCGGAGCAGAGTCCCCAGGAGCCCTGAGGGCAGGATGTGGATGCTTTGGGACAGGCTATTTTCCATGGGAAGGGTGTTAGAAGAGCTGGGATGCTGTAGGTGTTGGCAGGTCTTGGTGGGAGAATCAAAGTGCTGAAATACCACTGGTGCTTCTCATGAGTGAACCACTGAATGCTGACATTGAGATGGCCATTATCACTCTGCAGAGTGAACACTCTGGCTCAGGAACCTGCAGCCCTTTCTGCAGAGACACAGTGAAAAAGAAACTGCAAATGAACCACCTCCAGCTTGCCACCACAGCAGGCTGAGGCTCTACAGGTTGATAAGGGACCCAGCTCACTGGAGCCGCTCTTGTAGGGGCATTGTCCACACCAAAATTTTCCTTTTACTCCCTGTCAGCACTGTGCAAACCCTGGCCAGGGCCCCAGAGCAGCCATGGCTCCCTTGTACACTGCCAGCATGGTGGCTGCTTTCCAGTGTGCTCTTCTGCACCACCCTCAGCTCAGGCAAAACTCTCACTGAGCCCGTTTTGCCTGGAGAGTAAGAGTTAATAACATCTGTCCAGAACAGGCACCTTTTCAGAGGCCTCTCTATTCAGGTCTCTAAAATGTGCTTGTAATCCCTCAGACTTTTACACCTGTGATGCTCTAAAGGAGGTGTGGCATTTCCATGGCTCTCAGGAGCACAAATTCACCAGAAAATGAGCTTTACGGACCTGCCCTGTGTGAAACTACAGATCTTTTGTTGTAAAGAGCCCTTTCTAAAAGCCAGGACACAGTGATGTGATGCAACCACGGCTGCATTTCCCCACCTGCCTCCTGTGAGCCTGGAGCACAGGGAAGGACTGTTCCTGTCCAGCACTGAGCACGAGGGGACTGAGTGGGGTTTTAGTGCCACCATGGCTGTGGTGCCACCAGGCAGTGACAAACCACATCTGCACTCTGTGTGCCGCGAGCGCGCACGAAGCGCTGCCAGACACGATAAAGCAGCTTTCATTGCTAATCTGCTCCTCCTATATTTACAGCTATTTTTAGATTAGTTGTCACTGATGTACAAGGGAAATGGTGTAATGTTCCTCAGAAACATGAGAAAAGGCGTTTTCTTGGGATCATGTTCTGGTAATGGATCAGGGAAGTGAGGTCAGAAATCTCCTATGGTGGCAAAGGTGTGCCAGATGGGAGAAAAATCACAGAAACTGCAGGAAAGGAGACAGGTTTGTAACCTGCAGCAAAGCTGCTTCCAGACCCTCGAGTGCAAAATTCTGTAGAATGGAAGAAATTACGGGATTTAAAGAGTCCCTTCTGCAGAGCACCTGAAGTTAACACAGTTGGGTGTTTACTCCATCACAAAAAGAGTTCATGCTGTTTCCTTTTATGATCAGGTGGCATTTTACAGTCACTTTGCACTGAATAAATAATGCTGAAGGTGCTGGATAATTAATTAAAAAAAAAAAATCTGGTCCAATATGTTGAACATGGAGAGAATCTGTGCCTGAAGAAAAATCAATGAACTCAGAGAACTCTGGTTGCCTGCCAACATCTTTTACCTACAAAAGCAAAGAAGGAAAAGGATATAGCAGGAATGAATTTTGCTCAGTGTAATCCAAGATTACAGCCTTTCTCATTCATGAATTAGCAAAATGCTGTTTCTAGCTCATGGGCTGGTTTAATTTGTTTGTCCTGGGGCATTATAGGTGTGCTCTGTCATAAAGCAGTGGGGAAATTGAGCCAAAGTTGATGCAGAAGGTCTTTTTTTTTTTCCCTTTCTCCCCCAATTCCAGCACCATTCCCTGTGTTCAGGTTTAGCCTGTCACAAAGCTGCTTGGCTGGAATACCAATCTGTCTGACAGCTGTGGCCATCAGCAGACAACTTCATTAAACCTCATTAAGATGTCATTTCTCTGCCTTATTTCCCACCTCTTGGCTCTAATTAAAACCGTCTCTCTCTGCATCCCAGGTGGTCCTAATTTTCTCTGGGCACCTTCTGCAAGTTTTCTCCCTTTACGACCTCAGTGAGGAAAATCCAGCATCCTAAATGCTGTTTATCCAGCCACTTTGGAAAAGAGAGCTCTAGACCTTTTCCTGAAGCATTCCCAGAGCACCCAGTGGAGATCAACACCTCTCAGGGCTGCAAGGGATGTGCACTGAGGCTTTGTTTGCGCTCTCAAACTGTCTTTAAGGGCTTGGCTGATACATCCTTTCCTTTTGGATGTGATAACTTCTCTGTTTGAACCAGGTGTGTCTGGGCTGGGTTTTGAGGGTGCCATGCTCCCACTGGTCACGGTGCAGTGCTGATGGTGTTTGATGAGTGGGGATACCTTGGTTGGCTGTAAGGTGAGTGCTGTTGGGTGTCCTGACTTATCCCCAGCCTTTGCCAGGTAGTTTCTGATCTGTGCTGCCCTGGGCTGTATTTGAGTGTTGGAAAATGTAGAAAATGTATTTGAGTGTTGGAAAATGTTTGCTGTGAAGGAAGCGGAAGGCTCTCAAAGAGGTCTGTTTCTAGAGGTGAGGCATTGCAAAGGTTGAAGGAAGTACAAAATTTTTAAGGATTTCAGGTTTTATTACAAGACTTCCATCCCCTGGTGCTGATGGCCCAGCAACACACATTGCATCAATTTCCTAAAGATGACTGAGAGAGGTGGGAGATGTGTCCATGCAGAAAGGTACAGAAAGAGACCAAGATGTGGATTCTTAATCCCTGCCTCTGCAGCCTTTCCCTGGGTGCTGGGCAAATCCATGAATCCTCTGTGCTCCAACTCATCCAGGGCTGCCCCATCCTCTCCTCTCTGGCTCTGCCCTGTGGACACCTGCAAACTCTGTGCCATTTTCAGCCTGCCAGGCCCTGCCTCCTTCCCACCTTCTGTTTCCTTTTTCATTACACCCCCTTGTACAGTAAAGCCTCCCGTCACGCTACCATTACTATTATTATTGCAGATTTACTGCACTTGCAGAGTGAAGTGATTGCAGTGACAAGGCCCAGCATTTTTCCCTCCTTCCCCCCGCGACAGCTTGAAATCAAGCCCTTCATTTGCATTTACATGATCTTGCTGTGCAGCTTATGAGATCGGGAGATTTATTTGCTACTTAGCTTGATGTTTGATTACACTCTAAGAAGGCAGTGAGCTACAAAGTGCAGGGATACATCAGAACTGAGCTACTGAAAGCCTCTGGGGGACAGTAACTCAACATCAGGTTTAGGTAGATGAGAAAGGGAATGTTCAGTGTTTTGAGAAAGGCAAATTTGATGAGATTTTTTTTTTTTTTTAAAGGTGGAAGGAAAAACTTTCTCACAAAAAAAAAGAAAAAAAGGGAAAACAAAACCAAGAATGTTGTTCTAAAAACACACATGAAAAATGTGGGTTTCTCAGTACAGAAGAAATCCTAGCAGGGGCTGGTGGCTGCTGGGCTGCCTGGCACCAACTGTTGTAACTTCCACTCCCAAGGAGATTATTAATAATAAGTTGGCAGTTGTCTTCGAAGGTTTTCATAAGCGTTAAATGTCAAAGCCAAAGGAAGTTTTGCCTGATGGACCACCACAATATCTGTCCCGAATTTATTAAGTTTCAAAGCATGCCACTGAGCATTAATACTCTGTAATAAAAGGGAAACTGAGGCAGGAAATCAGTGTGTCCATGCAGGACAGCAAAGGGAACGGAATTTGGACTGGGGAGAGAAGAGAGTGAGACCAAATCATCCTAGTCTTCTATAGCAGTGTAAGAATCTTTCTGTTTCCAGAGAAAAGGGTGATGGTTGGGCAAACTGCTGCCCTTGGAGTCAGAAATGGCAAAGCTCAAGGATCTTGGTGTGAGTTTAACTCCTTTCATTACAAATACTCCAGACAGGGCAGCCACAATGCTAACCCAGAGTACATCTACAAATGCAATCTCCACTAACCTGTGCTCCTGACTGACCTGCCCTGGGAGCTGCAGCCTTATTAAACACCAGCCTTTGAGTGTTGGGTGTGGATTTGAATGATTTTCCCCTCTAGAATCCGCATTTTGTGTAAGGTGTCCCCCTCGCTGGGTTAGAGAGGGCAGACAGCACTTGCCAGGGGTTCTCCCTACACAACCCCTGGCACTACCCCCTTGCCATTTTCTTGCTCCCAACAGGGCTGGAACACCAACAGGCAAGGGTCACACACAGAGAACCTCGCACAGAAACCCCAGTCCAGGGAAGCAGCCACTGTCTGATACAGTCACTGTGCATTCCAACTGTTTGCACTTAGCTTTTAGTCTTGAAAATTGC